CCTGCCATAACCTGAAAATTGAATTTTCTTCTGTTTCCAAGAATTTAGATAAAGATAAAGAGCGAGCTCTTCTGAGAAGTCTGCGGGAGGAGGAAAGCAGCCTGCTGGAGCAGAAGCATAATCTGAAGCTCAAATGTGAGCAGCGGAGGAAAGCACTGGCAGACGCTTCTGCAAACACAGAGGAAGGTACATCAAGTCATAACCTCTAGCCAGAGTGTTGCCATCTGTAAACGCCATGCAAAAATAATGCTGCTGATATTCAACTGGTCTCAATTTCCAGTTTCGCAGGGTGAAAATCTAGTTAAACTCTGTTCATCCAACCAGAGTAAGTCTACAGAAAAAGCAGAGAAAAAAAGAGGAACACGGTGAACCTTTTATTTATTTTTTATTTAGTACAAGCTGTAATAAACATGGAAAAATATAGTGATTTTTGTGTCTTTTATTATTTGATGAAAACAATCGAAATATTCATTGGAGGTTCAATGGTAGTCACTACTGAATAAAGTGTAAAGATTCAAAAGATTGTCCTCTGGCAATGATAAATTCAAGCAGATGTGCTTAACCTGCAGACACTCCTCCAGGGTGAAATTCAAAGAAAATGTAATTTTTTTTTATTAATGTTAAAATGTTAAGGGCACCTTCAAAATAAATAGCCTAATTCTGACATAATTTACTCATGCTCATGTTTTTCCAAACTGGTGTGAATTAATTTCTTTTTCTTCTGTAAAACTTTGGGACAGTATTTTTGTGCTTGAAGCGCCATATGCAAATACATTTGAAAACTGAATACATCTAACTTAACTGATTGATAGTAAAAGATATGCTGCCAGTTTAATATAAATAAATATTTGACAGAAATTAGATGATCGTTTCTTTTGGCTTATGTACAATGACCTGAAAGCCAATTAATGCTCACTCAGTTATTTACGTGAAAATATATTTTCACTATTATATTTTAAGTAAAAAGGATACAATTACAAGGATATGATCATATTTGGAAGTCCTTGGCGTCAAGTGTCTTCGCATCAAATCGCGCTGTCGTTTTCTGACACTTGTCGGCCACCGTAGAGCACAAACACGCGTTTAATGTAATATGATTAACTTCAGCTTACTCGGACTGAAGGTAAATATATACATTAACATTGATCACTGATAGTTAAGTGAGCTGAATTCTAGCGTTTAGCACAGCATGTTTATCTTTGCAGTGTAAGTGCTGAATCAGGCTTGACTCTAGTAGGATAGCAGCTGTCAGATTGAGACTAACATG